AGACAACAAGAGTCTGGTTGAACGAGACTAAGCGGTCAGCGGCAGCTCCAGTGGCCAAACAGACTAGAGAAAATAAAGGGGAGGTTACTTTAGATATCGAAACCTACAACGGTATTTTCTGGTGATTTGTCCGGGGCAGGGTTCTAATTGAGTTATATATTGTATACCATGAAATTGTCAGCGTTGGTTAATTTTCGCCTTTTTCGCCTTCTGCAATGAGTAGAAATGATACATTTATGTTTCCACTGCAAGTTCTCCTATAAGCTTTACCAGAAGAAACTGCGTTCGTAGATTTACGATGTCAATATAAGGATTGAACGACATTTTCCCAACGTTCATACCTGCATGAAATTTAAAGAAATATGTCGTGAAATTTTAATACACAACAACCCATACACAGAAATAAACACATGGGTGGCAAGCAACTATCAATGAAGGGCGAATATGAATTAACAGACTGGATAGAAGCAAGGGATACTTGTTGAGACATCAGCGTACATGTCACCACTCAAGTACTATATATCGGAAAATACCCTGCAGTTTAAATTTCGCCCTTTTCGCTTTTTCGCCCTCTATATCATAACAGCGAACATTAGTAGCCAACGTGGGCGAAATGTACACTGGGTAAATATGCATTTTATCGGCGAATGGCGGGCGAAAGTTAGACTGTGCGAAAAACTTCTCGGAGTACAGTATGTAAAAGGTATAGATTTTGGAAACAGTCCAAGAGAGACAAAACATCAAACTGATTTTATGATAAAAAGGTCATATATATAGTAGGTTCCCATTTTATAGGTATTACCACATATCATTTACAGAGGTACATAAAAGGGGGCTTAAGAGGATCGATCCTTGTAGAACACCTATACACATACCTTGTTGTGTTTAACTAAGGGAATTCATTTTAATCCATTGTAGCCTTTGGATTAGTTGCGATTTAAACCTATGTAAATGAGGTTTAAATATTTATCACGTACTTATCGCGAGATCTCGTCAAGTCATGTGACATTGCTCATGCCCTAATTTCCATTAAAAGCATCAGTTTTTATAGAAAACGTTGGAAAATACTGTTCGTAATGATCTTTGAAACATGTTATTGATACCACCTATAGCTAGTGCATAAAGAATAGATCTTTCGATCCATGTGCGACGTGTGTGTGAAAGTGACGATTTGTTTATAAAATATCAGTTTGAAGAGCGACCCAGGCGCGGGTCGCTTATTTCCCGCATATTAAAGAGGGCCGGAGTTCTGACGTTAATCGATAAAACGTCAGAATAATTCGGACTAAAGGTATCAAGTTGTTGTTTACAGCCGGTTCATTCACAAGGTATTCATACAGTTCTGCATACTTACGAGTACTGGTGGGTGTTAGTGCCGTTTCAATAATACAAAGGGGAAATCTAAGCTTGACGTTTAAAAGTAAACAATCCTTTGAGATTAAACTATCTAGAGTAATCTTTGGTTTAAAATCTTTCCCTAGTTACTATAGAAAACTATACAACGAGTAAATCCACCATTATAAGAGAAACACGGGATATTTTACCACGGCGAGTATGCGTTCCTTACTTATAATAATTGAATACAAATATTCATTTTGGCTAAGTGTTTACAAAGTGTCTTATAATGTTTACTAGTTTAATGACATGTATATCTAAGATTTAAAATTACAATTATTCCCGTCTTTGTTAGTAAAGTGGCCGTAGGAAATCTGTACACAGGATTATGCTAATTTCTCACGATTTTATTCAGTTAGAACGATTTCAAACATTAGAAGCACAGCATTTCGTTTACTTACCCTTGCTACGAGTTAATATTTATACCCATACACTGACTAACAATGAAATAAGGATTATATCAAAAGGAATTCATGCTAAAGCAAATTTACATTGAACAGGTTTTTTGTTTGCTCTTTCCGAAATACAATTGCATTGAAGAGACTAGACTTTAAAATGTTGCGTCGCATGGTAAGACTCAATGTTGTCAAGTCCTATGCACATATGTATGAATATCTTCGTTGTAATTAAACTGGGCCCATATTCATAAAATCACTCTCATGCTCAAACTCAGTTTCTGTGCTCAAGTCCAGTTCCATGTTCCTGTTGAAGAAAGTCACATTCTGTTAATGACTAAGGAGAACTATGGAGAGACCAAAAGCCAAAAACATTTTTTTTACTTAAATGTCAAGGAAAGTTGTCTTGATGACAGAATCCGTGCTTGAGCACGAGACAGATTTCATTACGACGAACTTAGAGTATACTTTCGTAGGTTTATGTCCCATTTCGTTAAAACAATTCAAAAATGTTGTTAAAGTAGGACTGGGCTATCTTTCTCGTATTTTACAAAGTTTTTGTTACATTTGAAATTATTAAACTTAAAACAGAAAAATACACAATGTCGATCACACCTAGTCTAAGGAAAGAATAAGATTATACCGAAGCGTCATCAAGACCATAACTCGAAATAGAAAATGATAAAACTATGGCGAAAAATGAAAATTTAAGGAGAATAAGACCAGTTAGCTCTGATCGGAATTTGAATTTTATTTAGAATACTCACAAAGGTGTACATGTATACGAAACACCAGATAAGCCTCGTTCCACTGTCAGCATTTAGGGGAATGGCAACAACTGGTTCACCCGTTGTCAGTATAATGTGACCGGGCGGAATGCTGTGATGTGTGCCTTCGGCATGGCATTTCAGTGAGATAGCACTAAAAAGTCATCATCAGATCCGCGCTATCACAAGGTGGCAAGAACACCAACATACCCTGTGCCCTACATACACATACGCATGCACGCATACACTACAAACATGGAGGCACGTCCGTAAATGACCATAGCTATTATTAGGACGTTAAATAAAATCAAACCAAACAAAAACAAACTTTCCATTGTTAACAGCTTGTATCATGAACTTGAAGTCTTTTTTTACTCCATGTCTTTAATTTTGATGAATCATTTCTTAAAAGAAATCAACACCATGCGGGATTTTTATAAAACAAAATAACAAAGATGAAACAAAAAATAAACACTGTTCTTAATATAAAAAAATGCAATCAGGATTCGAACCCAGGACATCAGATTATGAAACTGTGGATCTAACTAACTGATATATCTAGTCAACTGTATTACCTTGGCTCGGTCGCGCTGAAGTCTTACTGAAACGAAATAAGGAGATGTTGCTGATTGTACTAGAAACTACAGTGGAATTCGTTAGTGTGTTACATGTAGTTGGGCAGGGACACTTAAGACTCAATATATTTATATAAAGACGACATAGACCTCTACATTGCGGAGACACGGTTGTCTAGTGGTAGGACGCCGGGCTCGTGACCGAGGGGTTGCGGGTTGGAGTCACGGCACGGCACTGTGTTGTATCCTTGAGCAAGATACTTTACTCCGCTTGTTCCAGGCTACTCAGCTGTAAATGAGTACGTGGTTGGGCAGTGCTAGACTTGTTGAATAATAGCTGTGAGCGCCGAAATGGCAGCACCAGCTGTATGCTCCCCTTGGAGTTGCAAAAGATTTGGCTGGTTGCAAAGGCCCTTATAACCACGGATAGTAATTTGTGAACCGCTTTGAGGCGACCTACGAACTAGGGTTGTGATAAAGCGGTATACAAGAACCTCGAATTGTTGTTATTATTATTACATCAAAGGCTGTTTCTATCCTTCTGTAAGTACTTTTTTTAATAAACATTTACGGTATTTTTGTCAGATATATCCTGTGAACGTATTCGCACAGCCAATGTTCCATCTCTTTTATCTTTTTCTCAAAATTGACAGTAATTACAACATGTCGTCTGGAAAGCGGACATGTTGTAATTACTGTGTCGTTAGTAATGCGTCTTCTGCTTACATTTGTTTTCAGAAAAAAAGTTTATAAGGAAATATAGTATTTCGATTCAATTTGCCAAGTAACGTTATGTACAAATTATTTCTCGGCAGTTCATAAGGCTTACTCATCACACATAATAACAGCGATTTTATTTCAAATAGAGCACTAAGCATGCAATTATTCTTTGAAAATATCTAAGGGCTATGATATACCACACACATTTTCCAAAAAAGAACAGTGATACCGTTTCTTGTCCATTTAAATGTCCTTAAGCTTGTTTGAAATACCCCATGGACACATTTTTTTATGTGAATTGAGTGTGATTATTTATTACAGTAAGTAAATCCACGTCCCCAGTTGTAAGGATTACTTTGTAACATCATGTCATACCTTCCAATTTCCCACTTAGAAAGGTTTTTTTTAAACGTCCCCAAACAATGATCATATCGATAGAAAGTCAGCCATTTTGTGATGACGTCACGAGGAAACCACTTGAAATGGAAGACACTTTAGATTCCATAATGCACAAAATGTAAATCAATGAATCAGGTCAATGTTTTGTCAATGGTTGATATGGAAGATGGAAAAACGTTGCCCTGTTTAAGAACCATACTACATGTAGTCGGCATATCTCTATTTTATTTTCAATACGGATATGACTTACTTACGACATTCTCAAATAATCTATCAAATGTTTTATCCATCGATGTTTACAGAGTTTCAATGTCAAAAACGGTAAACTCCTTCTAAACATGAGAGGCATCAATTACATTCAAGACGAATCAAGACCGCTTAAAAGTAAGAACAAAACTGCATTTGTACTTAGGAGCTTTTTCTAAAGATTGTAATATAAAAATATTGCCGGAGCTTATGGTTGTGGCGATCACGTTTAATCAGCATAATGATATATTAAGGGTGCTGATACATTCCTAATTATGAATGGTGTGTTCTTAAAAGGGATGTCATTACTTTAACGCAAACTCACTTCCACGACACAATATTCATATATAATTTCATATATATGATGGTACGAAGATAAAATCAACATATATCATAATTTGTTATTTACAAAGATCGACTGCTCCACACCGACTGTGACATATGCCACTTCTACCTCGTGTTGACAGATTAAAGGATAATTTACAGTAGCAAGGTATTCCTCTCTCTCTCTCTACATTACACACGATTGAGTGTTGGCTTTCCTGTCGTAAAAATACTCGGAGATGTATTTCTGGACAAGGCACAGTGCGATACAATAATGGCGAACGCAAGTTTGACGAAAAGTGATGACGCTAACCTATTGTGAGACGAGGCGCTGCATAAACTGATGACGTGATCCTAATTAAAGGCGTTTGAGCGTTGCCTTTCTATTCAAGTAAGGACAAGAAGACAGTGTAGCATTTCCATTTGCATAAATTGAAATGCGCATGTGAAGTGACTTATTCTCTGATATCATGCCTTTATTATTTGTACGGATTATACTATTCAGTAAGTACTAAGTAATCGGTACCAGTCCTGGCAGACACCGTTCAGAGACCGGCCTTTAATTGTGTAGTACTTATATAGACAACACATGTGCTACGTAGGTTGCAATAAGCAGCCATATAAAAAAAAAAACTTGATATCTGGACATTCTACCTGATAAATGATTCCGCACTCGATTACTTGATCATCTGTTTCAATTTTACCTGTAAATGTTTAACATCGCGGCGTTAGCGATACTGTGATTGTGTGTATAGTTGCTAAGTGGCGTCGGACGTAACGACATCGCTAGTGTGTGACCACCGTTTTCACCTGTACGGACTTAACTATATATAACATATGTAGCAAGGTAAGTTTGATATATCATTTTACAGTTTTGAACGTACAATGTGTGTTCCGTACTAAATGAATGTGAAAATAACAACCATATACCTTCTAGAAATGTTAAACGCAGGATCTGACCTCGTTTCAATGCGGTCGATACCGCGTTTTCTCCAGCAGTATTTGTAAATCGATAAATAGCATTAAGACTCACCGCATAGGTGTATAAAATGTCGAACGCCCTCTCCATACTCAAGGATCAAAGCACTGTATTAATGAAACTACGGGGAGGGTTTGTAACGATCCAAATGTACTATTTGCCTACCGATTAAAATTATGATAACTGTCTTCCTATCGATAATAATATATTTCCTGACTAGTACATTCAGCATATTTTTGTTTCAGTTCCTCTTTATATTTGATGTTCCGCGAAATATTAGGGGAAATATGCAACATTTTCAAAACATGGCTAAAGGGGGAGTTAACATTTCATAAGGCATGGTTTCATTCCGAAATGATATTGACTTTTGTTGGTCACTGAAAAGCAAGTAGGTTGGTAGCTGCACGTGTCGTAGGAGAGACAAGAAATGATGTTCGAAGTAATAACGGAAATCATTGTCACATTGTCAACAAATTAGATCAAGCTTGACGTTACATTCATATAACTAAAATATTGATACTAAACAGTTAGTTTAAGCATGGTCTCAATCGATAACGCTTGTGGTTTCAGTTGATCTTGTCGTCAACAGCACATTAAGCTGACAATACTTTGAACAAATGTCTTTACGCACAGATTCTGATCTAAATGCATACCAATGGGGCCGTATTCATCCATTTAAGATATATGACGTCATACCCCTTCGGCCTTAAATGATTTTACAGTTGTGTAGTGGATTTCTGTGGTATAGACACATATATTCACCTGAGGGATTTGTAGTTAACCCACTCACCCATTATTCACGAAATCGTGGGCATAGTGCAGTATAAAACAGGGTCAACAATACCTTCACTTTGTACTAAACAAGGTGGTATACACGGCTGTATAAATTTGATTTATCGAACCACTTTCGATGTCTTGTGACGAGAGTACTTCTAGTATAAACTGGAACTTGATATACCCACAATTTATGTTGAAGTACAGAACATTATTGTTTTTCCACCATTGAACAATGTTTTCCACACTTTATGTTTGGAAAGCATTTTTTTTATTCTTTCCTCCATGGACAAACATACTGAAATAATTGACGTTGACATTGGAAAAAAACCCTGACTGTTATCAATTTTTAAGATCAGAGAGAGTTATATTGCTGGATACTTCACGTCAGAAGTATTACACAATATTTGTGTGGACATATGCCGTAGAGGATTGTTCAGGATGTGTCTGGACGTTGGCCAATATGTGTGTGGACATTTATTTTTTCTACAGTGTACTTATACGTAATTTTATCATTATGAGGGCTTTCAACCCACAGTGTACCAGTGAAGATTGAGGACTAGATGATGGCCTATATAACCATCTGCTATAAATCTACATAAAAGTACTGTAGTACACCCTGTTATTACTGTGATAAATCGCCCTGCAGTAATGGCCGAGGGTGGATAATACTCATCACAGGTACCATAGTCATCTACCTCAATCACCACCGCCACCATATTCATCCCAAAATGAAACCTCCTCACAGGATAAATGATAGAAAAGGAAAAAATTGAACGATTATACATGATAAACAGATAGCATTGTGTCTGCTTCCAACAGCCCTCCACCACTGGGTTGTGGGTTCGAGACATCTGTGGGGCTGTCGCCAGGTACTGGCCGTAGGTCAGTGGTTTTTTCTCTGGGAACTCTGGCGCTCTCCTCCACCACCAAAACCTGGCACGTCCTTAGAACCGTCACCATCGCCTGGGCAACAATATTGTGAAAATTAAATGTCTGTTTTATCCTTTCGCCTTAGAAAGTTTTGGAAATTAAACGGACCCCATATCCCTGGTCTGCAATGAACCAACTGGAAATCAACAGTTTACCCAATCTTTGAATATTGTTGATGACGAAATAACTATGGAGTTGATAACATGTAATGGGAATCTCACCCATCCCTTTACATCGTTGAAAAATAATTAAATGGACCCACACTATAATGTACATCAGATCTTAACGTCCTGTTACTCTCCCTTGTTCTCATCAACCCTCCGAGCATTGGTTTTTATACATTTTACTTTTTTTTTTTTTTTTTTTTTTTAAATGAAATGTGCAACTATAATGATCAGAGTGGAAGAGATAACATTTTCTAACCAATCAATAGACAAGTTTAAAGGAAATTGGATGTTTTTTCGTTGTTGTTATTTTACAACTTGACTTAAAGCTATTCTAAATCAACCAGAACAACAGAAAAACATTTCCCTAACCATTTTGAAAGACCGAGGACATGTAAACAATGCCGTCAATGGTAATCGGGCGTTTAAATCGACGTGTTTTAAGATAAATTGTTGTGTATCGATCACGTTACTTTGCAAGTGAGAGAACTTAACAAAAGAAAAAAAAGAAAGAAATTGCAAACCAATTATGCGTTACCTCTTAATCGGCGTTAGTACCAAAGCTTTTAAAAAGTTGGTACAAAAGCTGGAGATTTTTCTTCCTCTAATCTATTAACGGCCTTCAGAGAATTTTGTCTTCTTCAGATATAAACAAAATTGCTATCAAATCTAAAAATAAAATGCGATCCCCTAAGAAAGACAACATATGTCCTAACACATCAAAATCCTTACCAACATGCAGATTCCTTACATAGACACATGGTTTCATTGAAACTCTTTAACGGACCTTGGACGCCGAACCTTTTCTGCAATATTTATGAATTCTCTTTATTTCGCATCACGTACTCTTTCAACAGACTGGTTTCTATTCCATTAATTCATTCACCCCTGAAGACACAGTTGATCCTCCATTTCAAAGGTTGGAATAGTTCATGACAAAATTTCAGGGGTGGATAGGACAACCTTTATCGATCGAAGCCCTGTATACTTTCCCGTATTGCACAGCTCACCGCGGTATCGGGTACTGTCTATTCCAATCCCTTCACTTAATCACCAACATGCAAACATTGAAAGCACACGTAAAACTTCAGGTGAGAGCATTCCTTTATTGTCATGGATGGACATACACTTTCAAATGTGTATTAGGAAATAGCGTATTCGTATAGTGTTACAGGATACCATGCCAACAACATGTAACTACATTCTATAGAGTAGAGTAAAACTACAGAATGTAAACAACTCACACTACATTAACGAAAGTATGGTATGGTTTTCTTTTATGATATTTGTCAACAAATGAACGAATTTCAACCATGTACATGTACAAATTCAAATTCAAAATTTGATTTGCACATTTGTAACTACAAAGTAGTTTGAAGGCAAAATTGAAAAACACAGTGAAAGAGGTACATAGACATGTACATGTAGAAAAGTAGCAAAGTGATTCCTTATATTTCTAATATACATCAACATGAACAAAATTAACATAGCTTCAAATAGAAAATTTGAATCTAAAAATGTTTGCTGCAAAGTTAAGTCCATACCTTATACTGTCAGCAAGCCCACTATCCTCAGTTCTAAAGACTGTTTAATGAATAAGCAGGAGTCCAGTATAAATAGCGAGTTGGTTGAAGATAATATTGAGGTAAAATGATTGGTACCTGTAGCTTTAGCTTAGAAGTATTCTGTATTCTCTGTACTTGTTTTGTTCAATAAGGTCATATTGATAAAAAACAATAAGGTCATATACATTAATTTACTTGCCCTTTGTTTTGCATTTTTAAAGTGTTGCCTGTAACTCGGTAATTTGTATCCTCTTGTCCTGCAGGGATTGCTTATCTTTAAATTGAAGTTTTGGTTTTAACTCGATAAATGTAAATGGTAATAATTTCATCCCAAACAGAATAAACTTCATTTCCACTCTTCGTTACGTATCCAGATTAAAATAACATTCATGCTAAATTGTTCCTCTTAATAAAGAGTGTCTTCCTTTTGACATGGTTTCCATTCAAGAGCAGCGTGAAACTCTCAATGAATAGAAAACGATTGCTATCCTTTTAATGATGGATAAGAACTATGTCAAGATAAAGATATAACGCATATTAAAGATAAATTAAGTATTGCAAAATATCATTACCGATGAAAAATATTTTCTTTATTTCTATCTACATTTTCCAGTTAATATGCTATGCATTTGAAATATTATCCTCACGTTTTTTACTTTAATATCTGATGTTTTTCCGCGAGTGTTATGTTCGTATTCATTGATGAAATTGATCCCAGAGTGCGAACATCCGCGCTTATAGTATCAGACTATTGATTATATTTTGTCTCACTTGTATACATAACCGCTGTGCTGTTGTTCATCTAAGCTGCCATTGACATGACCAGATGTATGAAGCCTAGTTAGCTTAACCCTGGTGTTTCATTTTCAGAAAGAATGAATTAAACCTGTACTTATAATGAAAAGAAGGATGTGTCTATCGACTGAAACTATTATATATTTGTTAACATTCAGATTGCTGTTTTTTTTCAACAAATTTATTTCATTTTTCCCACATGTTATTTTACAAAAGACAGTACAAAAAACACAACTTGCATACACTCTTTCTCTCGTACTTTGTTTTCCAGATAAAATTGAAAAGTATATTTTCTAATTCTTTAGTAAGTTTATCTTCTGGTTTAGGTAAGCTCATAAATAAATGAGTCAATTTTGGAATTAACAGAGATTTGACTACTGTAATCTTACCATGGACAGTCAGTCTTCTCTTATACCAATGTTTTAGTGTATTACTGATATCATTAAGTTTGGCTTTAAAATTTATTTTTGGTATATCTTAAAGTTTTAAGCTAAATAGGATGCCCAGTACCGTGAACGGTTCATTGGTCCACTCAAGGTTCCACTCATTACATAGTCTATTTATGGCATTTTGAGTTTTCTTAGGAGATTTTTCTATACCATTAAAAAATATACTAGTATCATCAGCATACTGAAAT